GGCTACCTGATTTCCTGCTCTCTCCCCAGCTCCCAGCTCAATGCCTGGCTTATAGCTGGTGCTCAAAACTGCTTGTGGACTAAGAGACTAAATCTTAATTGTTCGCACCAAAAAAATAAAGAAACGATAATTACGTGACTCGGTAGAAGCATTGATAGAAGTGTTAGCTGACGTTGCAGTGGCGTTCATATGGCAACATACAAATGAATCAAACCAACCCATCGTACACCTTGAACTTCTACGATGTTATATGTCAATTACATCTCAATAAAAATACGTTTTTTAAAATACATCAACATACAGTGAAATAAACCCTATTAAAAGCTAAGCTAATAAATACCCTAAAACTCCCCACCAAAAACCCTCTTGTTGAATAAATGAATGGCCAGGCCATTGAAGGCAGCCTTTGGGGAAGGCAAAGTTGCCTCTGGGAACAAAACTTCCACTCGTTGGGGGTCAGGACGCCTGGGCTGTGGTCCTGACTTTGCCACCCACTTGTTTTATGGCCTTGGGCAAGTCATGTCTCCTCCCTGGGCTTAAGCGTGCTCCTCTGTGAAATGCAGGGGTTAGCTGTATCAGGACCACAGACAGTGGTGGTAGTGGTGGTGGTGGTGGGTATACGGGAAGGGGTATATGATGTGTGTATATACGTGTGTCTACACATGCCCGTGCACATTTTCCTAGCAAGAACATCCATAGCTTTTACCAGATTCTTAAAGGCACCTGTGGCCTCAAGAAGTTCAGATTCACTAACCAAGATCCTTTTCAGCTCGGGGCAGTGGTGGGGGGTGGTGGTTATGATTATATATAACTAGAGAGAAAGAGGAAGTAATCCAGCCTACAGTAGACGGAGCTAAAGAACTCCCATCAGAGGTGAGGACCGCACAACAGGAACACAGGGGAGGCTGTAGGACTTGGCCTCCTGGGGAACTCCTAAACTCAGCAGAGCTCTGGGCAGTTGGGCAAAAGCCAGACCAACTGACCCGAGGGGCTGGTTTTTTGAGAGAGGAGGCTGAAACGATCCAGAGTCTCCTCCCTCTGCTCCTGCCACCATCTGACAAGCACCCACTTGCCTTGGGATACAGCAGAAAGCGAGGAGGCGAGGTTGGCACCTGGAGATGCCCTCCAGGCCCCTTGGCACCCAGGTCAGAGAAGGTTTGGCGGGAATGCTCAGGAGGGGTGCCAAACCCCACCTTCCCTTCTCCTGAAGTTGGCAGGCTGACACGTGGAACCAAAGGAGAGCTTAGAGCATAGGGTAATCGTGGGACCCTCAGGAGGCCACCTAAGGGGTAGAGGGCCTACACCTCCAGGCTCCAAAAACCCAGGCTTAGGGCTCTGAGGCCTGGGAACCAAAGTGGACAGACCTCCCCAGAGCAAAGAAGAGGAGCAGGCCACAAATTCGGGAGGGAGGAGGAGAGTCCTGGGGATAACGGGGCCTGGTGGGCGCGGGGGGGGGGGGGCCGGGGTGGACAAAGCAGGCCACCAGAGGGAGGAGGGCAGTGTGGTGTGAGCAGAGGACAGCCTGCTTAGGGGAGCGAGTTGGGGGCAGCATGCAGCAGGGGAGAGGGCAATATGGCCTGGGTGGGAGGGGGCTGCCCAGAGGGGAGAGGAGGAGAGCAAGGCTGTGGGTGGAGGAAGTGATAGGAGCCTGTGGCCCAAGGAAAGAAGCTTAGCATATGTATTGGAGGGGGACAGGGGGAACACGGTCAGTGGCAGCCATGGTGGCATGTCAGTGGCAGGTCTGTCAGTGGGAGAGCCCTGGCTGGGAGCCCAGATGCCTGAGTAACTTCTAAGCCCTGACTCCGGAGGGGAGCTCAGAGCCCAAGAGATGTTTATCCACTGCAAGAACGTGGTAAACGCCCCCTCTAGTGAAGCGATAAGCAGCCTGGCTGTTCTTTCCTGGGTCACCGGTCTCCTGAGAGTTGCAGTATAAATGGGGGGGAGGGGGTGCTGGTGAGAGGAGAGAGCAGCGGGCAACAGCATGCCCCGCTGGAGCCAGGGCTAGGGTAGCAATGGGCAGGGGCTGGGACTGGGATGGAGTTTTGTCCTGCAGATAAAGGAGCCGGTGAGTCATGAGCGAGCGCCAGGAACTCTCAAGAGGCCGCTCAGAAACCAGCTCATCCGAATGCAGACAGACACTTGTCCCCATCCCTGTCCCCGTGGCTGTCACACACCCACGCACTCACTCCCTTCCCCTTCCTCCTCCTTGATCACCTACCTCCAGTGCCCCTGGCTTCTTCCTCCTTCTCAGCACCAACTGCCTGTCCCTGTCCCTGCCCACCCTCAGGTGGCCCCCCTGGAAGCCACCCCACAGCTGCCTGCATTGCAAGTGCAGAATGGAGGGAGACAGGGGGAGTCAAGAAGAAGCACCAACAGAGAAAGTGAAGTCCAGAAGGGTCTGAGACAGAACAGATAAAGGGGAAGCACTGTGAGCGCACTTCCCCCTGAAACCTTCGAGGAGAGAGGAGAGTTCATGAGGCTCTGAGGCAGAGAGGAGTCCTGATGACCTCTAGAAGGGCCCAGCAGTCCAGGGGTTGTGCCATGTCATTTCCACTCTCCAGACCCTCTGCCCTTTTGCCAGGACTGAGAAGCAATAGTGTGGGATGCCGAGCTGACACGCTGAGGCCTCACCCTACCCCGGGGCACTAAGGCTCCCATCGGAATCACACCTGGGCCACCAGCCACTATAAGGGCTAGGGCAACACTCTGCCCCACCAAGCCTGTTCCTCACCATGATGGGTCATCACGGGGATGATCAGGGCTAGGGCTTGGGGAAGACAGAGTTCAGTCGGTAAATGCAGCCCCATGTTTTGCACAGTGGAGTATAACCACGAATATGCTATAATCCTGCCTTGGAGGGGCATCCGGTCAAGCGAGACAGAAAGGTCACCAGCACATGCGTGCGCGCGTGCGCATGCACACACACACACACACACACACACACACACACACACACTGGACTTCACTGGCTGCCTCAGTGAAGGGGAAAGAAGGGCTGGGATATGGCCACAGCGTACATTTTGAGTTGCCCAAACACCATGTGCCCCAGGTGGAGGGAGATAAGACACCAGCATAAGCCAAACCCTGCCCAGTAAACAAATCTTAGGAGGCTGCAACCTTTCCCAAACAGGGAAGTAGGCTGGGCTTAAGCAGGGAGCCTAGAGCAGGGTTATCTAGTCCCTAGTGACCCCAAATATCTCCTTGTCCTTCACTTCCTCCTTGGAGAAATCTAGCACCCACACCTACGCGAGGCCTGGTGGTTCCCAGAGAGACGCCTCGTCCAGAACAAACACCTGCCTCCCGCACCAGCCTATCCCCATCCCTCTGGGTCAGCTGCCCACTTGAGAGGCTCCAAGACTTACCAGAAACAGAGAACGCAGGGGTGAGGGTCCAGCTGCCCATATCATCTTCAGGTCAGTCCTTGCTCTGGCGGGGCCTTCCCTGGTTCAGAAGGACCCCTCCCTCCTGCCTACAGAAGTCAGGGACAACAGCCACAGCTACCCCCGGACACAGTCAACTCTGCATCGGCTCAGGGGAAATCAAACTCTTTCGGTGCCCTTCCCCAGCACTCCCAGCCCTGCCCAACTTGGGTGGCTCCTAAACCTCACCTGAACCATTTGCCCTTTTAAGGGGGTCACGTCCGACATCCGCCTCCTCCCAAGGACACAACAGACCCAGGAGGGACCTCAGGCCGGCTCGCGGCCCCTTCACCCGGTCCCGGCCCCGACCGGCGCCCCCGGGGGCAGCCGGCTCTGGCAGGCGACTGACAGGCGCTCCCCTGGCGTGGCTCCCTACCTGTGTCAGGTGAGCGGGGCTCTGCCCGCCACCGCCACCCGCTCCCCAGCAGCCGCCCCGCAGCGCCCTACCTGAAGCAGCAGCCGCCGGCTCTCGGCGCGGCCGGAGGCCCCCGGCTCCCAGCCCTCGGCCCGCACCGGGGCCGGGGGGCTCCCCGGGGGCTGGGGGCCGCAGGGGGGCCCGGGCTCCAGCGCCTCGCAGCACACCAGGCTCACGGTGCAGCCCATCCGGCCGGGCGCCCGGCTGGGGGG